AGATGATGAATGCTTTTTTTCACAGCATTTTTCTCCATCATGGCCATTCTCTCTCCAGCAGTAATAGTGGGAAGGGAATTCTGTCATGAATGCATGGGATCCATAGATCTGGCCATGGATCCAATGCATCCACATATCTGTGTCTGAAGGAGCAAACTGTAACAGCAGCAATTTAGAGAGCGCCCTGAACAAAATAAAGAAAATTACCTTTGTGCACACAGAAAAGAAAATCATAGAAATGCTACAGATTTTAATATCTAAATCTAACTGCAGTCATTTGTCGTTAAACTCTCTGACTGTATGAATGATATTATAGATTATATTAGGCCATTTGCCTTGTAATTGCTGCTTCTTATTCTAATCTCCTTAATTTGAAAACTGGCAAATCCACAGGCTTGCTTATCCCTATTTAGCCCTATTATTTTACTTCCCTGTTGCCTTTCTATTTTGGTTTTTTTTTTTTTTTTTTTTTTTTTTTTTTTGGGGGGGGGCGTTTTTTTTTTTTTTTTTTTTTTTTAAGTTTTATTTAATACTGTACACATGGAAGATTAAGATAGGATCCCTACTGAAGTTGGGCTAGTTGGGGTGGGGAAAGGGAGCTGGTACCAATTCAGTCCTCTGCTCCCAGCTGTTGCTTGTTCTGTTTCTGCATCATCTCCAAGGTCCTCCCAGCACCAGGCACCCATCACCAGTCCTGATGGCTCCTCAGGAGCTCTCTGCCTTTCCTTGTGAATTTCCTTATGTTTAGTTCTCTTCATCTTTTTGCTTCCCTTGCCTTCTCCATTGGTAGCTCTTGATTTCAGGGTTTCCTAGCTCAGGGTACAAAACATGCCTGTTGAAATTCTCATGCTGACTTCTCCCGGTTCACATCTGCCAATGCAGACTTCACATTCAGCACATTGCCATCTGAACTTCTCCATGTTAGTTGTAGCCATGTTTATAATAGAACTTGCTGTTGAATTGTTCAAAATGCCTGGCATATTTACATTTTCAGCCTGTGGCCTTCTGCTGTTTTTCTTCCTATATGCAAGCATTCCTTCAGGATTTATTACAATAATTGCTCCTCTAGGTGTTTTGTGGGCTCTCACTCAGTTCTGTCCTCGATCTTTTTGTCTTTCTTAAATTTGTTTCTCATCCACTGCCAATCTCAGCTATTGCCTCTAGGAGCATGAATCACACATCTGCCACTCCCATCTTGTAATTAACTCAAATTCACCCCAAAGGTCTGAACTTTTTAGAACAAATCTCTCCTTATTACCACATTCCTTACTCATTATTTGTGAGTCAAGATTGCAGACAATTTGTCACTTTCCTATACAGCGTAGGTCCTCATATGTAAACCACATATGAATTATACAGTAGTCTCCCTAGAGAAATATTCACATTTCCAGCTAAAACTATCCATATCCTGGCCATTTTGATTTTTAACAACCTCCTTTTCCCTTGACTTCCATAAATAAAATTTTGTGCTGCTCATACTTATTCAGAATTCGTAGAAAACAACCTGATTACTTTAAACGTGTGAAACTTGTATACTTATACAAGACACCTGAATGATCTCTTCTCCTCTAGTTAGGTATTTATTGCCTTTCTTTGAAGAACTAGAACTTTTTGCGTTGTTCACTTTTTAAGTTTCTATATTTTCATACCTCTCCTAGGCTGTACCTCCCATGTGAGGGGAAAAAAAGCACCTTGTTCATCAGATTACTTTTGCTCAAGCACTGTTCTGTTTCTTGATGTAAACTGAAAAGAACACATTAGCTATTTAATGGACACCTCAAGTTCACTGTCCCCTGGGATTGCCCCCAGTGTGCTCTATGCACTGTGCCTTGCCTTCTACCTACATGAGAAATTGATTAAGAGGAATATCTGGTTTTGATGAACAGCTTCTCCTGCAGTTGGATCTTGGTCCACACCTCGAGTCTTTGAAGTACACAAATAAAAGAGCTGTCAAATTAAAGTGATTGTTGAGAGGTTTTTGTCTGTCATTCCCAGTAGTCTAGCTCATAGTGAAGGATTAAAATGAGTTTGTCCTTCAACACAAACTGCAGGAGTGTGCTGCTTTGATCCATGCCATAAGGTATTCCACTGCATTCCTCATCCTCCCGAAGCATCTCAGAGCTTTCAACACAAAAAATGCATATAGCACAGAAATCTGTTACCATAAAATTTTAATTAACTGTTCCTGGTTCACGAAGTAAGTTTGGATTTATACCAGGATGAATATCTAATTTACTGAATAAAAAATATACAGTATCAATTAGTTACTCCTAGCATACAATAATAATCAGTTGATTTCCAGCTGACATGGCACTTTCTCTGCATCATTAAGGTTTACATAAATTTTCATTCTCTTATCTATTAAATCTTCCTCAAATACATAATGCAATCTGTTTGCCTATTATTAAAAATTACCTTAAATTCTTTCCAGTATTGTTTTATTCATGGGTGACTTGAAAATCCTTAAAGATTACTAAAATCAGACATTTTTAGAAAAAAAATTCTATAAAGATTGCAAGGGCTTTTTCCTTCCCATTTGAAAGAGCTACTTAAGGAATAACTTTCTCTCTTTTTTAATGAATATGCCCTTTTAGTCTACTCACTGACTTGTCTCACTCTAAAAATCTGGACATTAACATACCCCACTAAATTTCAATTAGGTCACTTTAAAAGTGCACAGGAAGTTGTTTTACTTAGAAATGTTGGACAGAAGAAAACACAAAAATGCAATAAAGTTGTTTAAAAAGCTAAAAGGTTCTTTTAAGAATTTCAGTTCATGGATTCTTATCAGTTCACAGAATGAGAAAGTAGATATTCTAACCAATAGAAAATGTACTAGAGAATAATAATTTTTTTAAAAACTCTACAGTGAAAATTAGATAATCTGAAAATAATAACAAAAATAAATAAATTGCTTTGTAAATTAGTCAGGATTTTCAACCCCATAAAATTATCAATAGTCTTTTTACTCATTATCTCATTACCTTATTTTGAAATGTAAAATTATACTAAAAAGTGATTGAGACAGAGTTTTCCTTATAGAGAAGATATAAACAATAATGATTTTCATTTACAAAGGAAAAAAATGAGCTAGAAAACCCCCACAATAACCACTTTTTAAAGTACTGGAAGAAGCTAAAGAGAACCTCTTCAGGCTGAATTCTCTATTGGTTGAGGAATTTAGTTTGTCTTTGCCTACTCCTGTTCTCACTCTTTTAACATCCTGAAGCTTTTTGGACATCACGTACTATAACAGCTCAAATTCATCCTACTACCAGCTGTTGAAATGCCAGCTTTGGCTTTTATCCTGTTAAATTTGTCAGTACTTACTCAAAATACCAGGTGCATTTTTTTGTTCTTTTTCAATACTAAAAAGCCCTCTAAAGTATTTTGAGTCCCCAAAACCTTAATGGATGATGAACACATAGAAACTCATGAAACATTTGCTGTGTTTTTTGGAAATATTTTGGAAGAAATTCTGAAATATTTTATTCTAAGGATTGGTAGAGATGCTTTTTTTCTGATGAGTTTGTATAAACTTGGAAACAAGTTGTAGCTGGTAAATTCCTTACACATGGACTGAAAAATACTGTGACAAATATATTCTGTGATGGTTTGTTTCTTTTAACCTCACTTCTAAAAGATTTCTAATTTTGGAAACTTGATTAGTGCAGGTTAACATTGTGACATTCTTCCAAAGAACTTAAAGGAACGTCCTAGGATGGGAGGCAGCAATTAGATCAAACTAAATGGAACACTCATTCAGATAACTTATGGGGCCATTGCATTTAAGAAGTAACATCATCTGGTAATATTAATGGACATAATTCACTATGAACAATAGGTTTTCTAGATATTTCCATTCTAAATAGTCAGCATAGGATTTTTTTAATTTTTTTTTCTCAGTATTTAAGATATTTAGGTGTATCTTATAACTTGTTAATTAAATTGTTTATCTTTAAACAGAAACTCCTTGCATCTGGTAATTTTCCTCTCTAAGATGCAATAAGTGGGATGTCTTTTTTGCTTATGAATGACCTCATCTTAAAAGAAAATAAAGATCAGTTACAAGATATTCCAAAACCTGATTTTGAGTATAATGGAATTATGCTAAAAAATTCTGATTACTAAACTGAAATATTTAGAGTCTGTACAGAGTCAGAAACACAGAATATATGAGACCTTGAAGAAACCACTTATTCAACATGTGAAACTGGGGTGTAAGGAGGGAGAGGATGGAAACACCTGTCAGCAGCAACATTTCTGTTATGTCAGCGGGGGCTGAAAACAGATGCTGGGTGCAGACATGCAGGTGCAGTATCTTGCTGTATGAAGAGCAATGTGTCTTTGAGCTCTCCTGTGTGGTGATGTGTGGTAGCAGTCAGCTGGTGTGCAGAACCAGGAACCAGGAGCATCCCTTGTGCCAGAGACCTTCAGGCCTCCGCTGGTGTTGCCAGCAGCAGCCTAGTACCCTGTAGCTCTGGAGATACAAAACTTACTGACTTTGTCTAAAAGGAAGACAAAATAAATAAAAAAAAAAAAAAAAAAAAAAGACTGGGATGATCTTGAAGGTCTCTTCTAACCTAGTGATTTTGTGATTCTGTGACCTTGCAAAGGCATTGATATCAAGCTGGTTGATGTAAGCTTACCTTTGTAGTTCTGTGACTTAGTTCTGTTTCAGGGAGAACTCAGTATATGAAGTGAAGGTCCTGCTTTGTACATTTTTGTTTTGGCGTTGTGCTTTTCATTTTCTAGCTTGAAATTATAGTTCTGGAGTAATGAGTCAAGCAATGGTGGGCTTAATTGCTTCTCTTGTATCTGAAGACACATTAATTACATTCTCCATTCAGTTGGGCTTAGACTTGAATGGGGGAAAAAAGTAAATCTTATATTCAGCATAGGAGGCTGGGCACATGTCAGTGGAGGAGAAACTACGGGTTGCCCCTCCTGTAGAGCACTCTCAAGAGAATTGAAAATCACAATATTCTGAGCCTACTGATAATGCTCATTTTGCAGCCTCAGATATCCTAAATATAGTAAACTCTTTGAAACTTTCTGCTCACGACCAGTGGGGACTTACATACTACATTTATGAGATGTGGGTTTAATTATTGGGGTTTTTACTGAGGAAGATAATGAGAAACGGAATTTTACTGAGCAGGTTATTTTGTGCGTTATTTTTCCAGGATTTATTCTTGATTACCGTGGAACTAAAGAACTTTTTAATATTGGGAAATGACTTTTTCATAGTTTTGGATTTGAAATAATTTTCTTCTGTTCTTTGTTGAGATGAAAGGAAGCCAATTATTATTGGAATCTTGGGTTCAGAAGTAAGTGGATATTTTATTTTTGTTGTATACCTACATCTGTGTCTATTGTGTTAGTTTCTACTCAGAGATGGCCAGCATCACAGGATGATTTGATGCTTTTTGAACTCCATAAAAAATCAATGTCCTTAACATGTTTTATTAAAATGCAATATAAAAATTTAGAAGCAAGTATCATATTAAGAAAAAACCTAAAACTTTGCCTTGAATGACTTGAATTTTATTTTGTTTAGTATTAGACAGCAATTTAAAATGGAAGGATGAGTGATATAAGTTCTAATATAATTCCATCTGCTATTCTGAACCCTATGTTTGGTTTTACCCTCTCATCTGTACAAGGATAATTAATACGTGTTTCTAATCACTCATTCCTTCTGTTCCAAAGGAATAAAAGAGGTAGCACTTAAATAGGTGTTGAGCTGCATGAAAGAAGTATTTTTGGTGATTAGAAATGGTAGAGAAAAAAGAATCTAATGACTAAAAAATGAACATTAGCAGATTGACATTTTCAAGTGTCTGAATGACACAAAGAACAAGAGAACTATTATACAAACTTGTTTCCTAGAACAGAAAATGGATTGAAGAAAATTGCTCAGAATGAATTGCTATCAAGTTGAGTTACAGGGGAAAATTAAAAGAGGCTTTACAGAGCAGTCACTGAATGAGGTAGCACATCAAGACTCCAGAGTAACCATTTATCTCAGGGTTAGTATGTTATAATGAGAGTTGGGTTATTTACTAATGAATAATATATATACATTTACCTAAGGGTGGTAAATGTAATTAAGCAAACTTTTTCCTTGAATCACCTTCTGAAGGCAATTTGCTAGATCCTGCAGAAAAACTGTTGGCAGAAAGGTCAGCTCTGTACATCAGAAGCAGCTCTGTTCCCTTGGGATTCTTTCCCCAGCTGTAGTGTTGATTCTCCGGACCTGCTCTGTACATCTTTTGCCAGAGTAGCTAGATGAGTGACCAAAATGAGAAATTTGGTCACCTATATATTGACAAAAGATAAATGTATTTCCAATAAAGTCTCTGTTGTGGTGTGATTTCCTATACTTGAAGATATGATTAAGCCACAAAGATAATTATTCCTTATTTCTAGTAGGAGTGTCAGTAGCCAGAGTGTGGCTGGAACAAGATCAAGCTGAGGTTGCTGCACTGATGTAATGGTATATCATGAACATTTGACCTCATTAACAGTGAAATTTAACTATTCCTCTATGTCTATTTTAAGTGCAGAAAAAAAAAATTAAATTTATTTTTATCCTTAGTATTCCAAAAATTATGTAATTAATATAGTCTCAAGTCATAGGAAGAACTACAAGGTTTTTGAAGCAGGTTCCAAACCCAGAGGAAGTTAGAAAAAGAGGGAAATCCAGCAGCTTTTTCAGTTAAATGAATAATAGACCCAGTTGCTGGCAGATTCTTTTCTATTTAATCAAGTGACTTCATTTCCTAATAGGAGACGTCTGGAAGTAGAGTCCCAGTGCTGCAGCAAGATCCCCCCTATATTAAAGATCAGTAAAATCCAGCAATATATTAATATACAAATGATAGGACACTGCTCCTCATACTAAAGAACATTATGACCTGAAGTCTAGGAGCTGGGACATTCAGTAGATGAATGTTTTGTAGTAGAAAATAAGGAGTTCCTTATTCAGTGGCATATGAAGAAATAATTACAGAAACTGTCATTTGTTTTACCAGGACAAATGTTTGTTGTTTGAAAATGTGTGTTCTGTAAAAGGCGTCCCGCAATTAAATGCTCCCCCACTCATGTTCAGGGATCAAAACCATGAAAAGGCTCTCCCCATGCAAACAACAACAATAGCTACCACATTGTGTGCATTTATTTTCAGATGAAAAACTCTCTTGTCTCTTTAGTTAATAACCTCTGCCAATTTGGCCTGATGGATTTACTGCACATCATTTACTGCTGCTGTCCAAATAATCTCTATTCATGCCAATAAAAGACAGTGTCAACAACTGTAAGAATAGCGCACTTGTTTTTTCACCACTCCAAGAAGAAGAGACATCCTGAGTTCAGAGGGATTCTGAAAGAAATAGTGTTAATGAATAGCCTTCCCAGCTGTATGCACTATGGCAAGTGAAAAACCTCCCCAAGTATTGCATAACCCAGCATCGACATCACTGTCTTCCCCAGCAGGCACCTTGCTTGGTCTTGTTAGCATCAGTGCAATTGCACAGGGTGCAGGTTAGCACAGAATTGGCTTCAATATCTCTACTGAAGCTGAAAGGTTTTATCCCCACAGACCAACTGATGTTGAAGAAACAAGATAATTTCCATCTATTTCAGCTCCAGTTCATCTAACCCGATGGGAGTAAGTAGTTACACAAACTTTGAGAAACCAGAGCAAGGAGAAAATTAACTGCTGTAACCCTTCACTGATGTTTTTATGCTCCAGACTAGAATAGTAACTCCCTTCCTGAAAAAAAAAAAAAGAAATGCTGTGTCCTTCACAAGGGCATTCCACATTTTCAGAGGAGACCAAATTTTCCTTCATGCTTTCCTCAGCCCTGGACCTCTTGCAACAGAATCTGATTTGGCAACATCCTCTGGTAGGCCACCCACACCATCTGGAGAAGAGACTTTCTGCAGAGTGAATGAAGCAGCTGCAAGAGCGTTTTTAGGGAGGGAGATGAGTAATGTGGCAATACAGGATTTACAGGCATTAGAGATGTTCTCCCAGTACCAGGGTGCTGATTTCACTCCCTATTGAACTGAGGCAACTCTGCTCATTACACAGACTGCTTTTTTGGGATCACTGGACTTTTCAACTACTGCCAGAGGCGTTATGCCACTATATTTCCATGGCTTTGTAACATCTGCAAAGTATTATTGTTTAAAACCTCCTTCACCATGGAGACCCCAATCAAGATAGAATCTCTGCTTAGTTGTATCATCTTGAACAACATTTATCTTGAACAACAAATATTGAAGGAAGCAGAGATGAGCTTTTTCCAAAATGATTATAGACACACTAATATTTTCCAATTAATAGGAGATTTAATTATTAAAAAAAGTATCCTGTTATTAACTGTTTCTTAGCTTTCATTATGAAGAAGCAAAAAGTACCATTTTGGTACTCATTAAAACATTATGAATTTCAAGCTTTTGATTTGCAGATCTTATGGCTGTAAATAGGAAATAATTTTCATTTCATAAATATTAGATTATTCCTGAGTCCTGAAGATAGCTAACTTCTTGTCATTGCTTTATTAATTTCATTCAGGAACAGTTTGGCCTTAGGAACAGTACTTTTCAATTATTTTCTATTATACTTTACAGCATGCATTTTCCTTTTTAATCCTTTTCTTTCTGATAGGAAAAATAAAACAAATAATCAACATGGCTACATACCTGCTTTCTATTGCAACCATATTGTTTTAAAATAAACCCTACATACATATATTTACAAACACCATTCGGTGTCATTTCACTCTAATCCACTCTGATCTCAAGACATCTATTGACAAGAACCTGGCTTACCCTTCCCTTCAGAGTCAGGTTGTAACACCTCTTGCTAACACTGTGTGATGGCCTCTGTACAAAAACATATAAATATGTCAAGCTGAAAGTAAGACAACATAAAAAATCCATATGTAGAGGTAGTTCTACCTGTTATTTTCCTCCTGGTTTGTGTATAAAGTATGTTTTTCTCAGATGCCCATTAAAAATGTATGTCTCATCTGCTGATTTTTTTTTTTTCATTCAAAAATATTCAGTTGAAAAAACAAATGCAAGTCTTTAGAAGAGAAAGTTATTCTTAGCAATATAGGACTATGAGAGATTATTTCTTAGTCATAATGAGCAAGAACACATGAATTAACAACGATGTATAACAATTATCTATACCAAATATTTTTTACTATTCTTCTTAAAACCTGTTTTGTATGAGTGATTCCTTCAGAGATAATTTGCACAAAACAATATCTTAGCATCATAGTCTTTTTGAATGTACTCTTGTAATGCACAAATTTTACTGGAGGAATGATGGTTTTGGGATTTAATGGTAAAATTTCATGAAAGCCGGGGGGAAGTATAAATAAAAACCTAAAGGTTTAGTGAAAATGATAGCTAAAATACATTTTCAGATACACAAGTTTGATCTTTTTTCAATGTATTAAAAATGATCTGAAATTCTTTTCTGGCAATTCTGACTTGCCTAATACCAAAAAATACAATGAAAACCTGATTTTCACACTTGTCTTTAAAATCCCTTACTTGAAAAAAAAAAAAAAAAAAAAAAAAAAAAAAAAAAAAAAAAAAAAAAAAAAAAAAAAAAAAAAAAAAAAAAAAAAAAAAAAAGAGAAAAAAAAAGAAAAAAAATAGGGCAAGGGGGACTTATATTGTCCCAAAGTATTGAGAAGTTTTTTCTGTGCTCAGAGTGAAATTCTTAGCTGATATATAAGGTTTGGTGTTTGGTATTTCTTTGAGGTTTTTTCTTGTTTTTTGATTAAATATGATCTCTGGTCAATATAACCCTTTACTATGAAGAGAGTGAACAAGAAAAATTAAAGTCATAAGTGCAAAAACAATATTTGGGAGACAAATAAATACAGTTAAATTCCTTTATTAGTCATGAATGAACAGCATTAAATCACTTGAAAATTTCACAGAATTAATTACATGCTGCCTTTGCATGGAAGTCTTTGATGACCTCCACCTTCATCATAATGTGCTTTTTTAGCAATCGAACTGTGCCCATATATTAAGAGAAAACTTAAATGCTGCACACTTGCAATAATTCAAGCTGGTTTTTTACGCTTCCTTTTTTATATTTCATTCCACAGGTATCACTGTAAAGCAACAGAGTCATTCATTCTTCATGTCCTATAAATCATGGTCTTTCCTCATTACACTGGCCATAACCCCCTGGTCCTGTTGAGTTATGTTGTTTACATGATGCTGACAGCAGGAACTTGCTTGAAATCAAGACACTTGTCTTTAATGGGGTTGAACTGTTTTTTGAAAGGAA